GCGAGAGAGATAGAGGGAGATGCAAAGATTGTGATTGTTCCCATATGTGCATACAGACACCTGATATCCGTCCTGTTGGGTGAATCAACATTCTCCGTGAGTGACACAGATGTGCACTCCGTCTGTTGAAGTTCAGAAGTTAAAAAGCTGAGGGAGAAGGACAGAAGGAGATGGACTGATCCTGATTTGTTTATATTGGGAGAGGATATTTAATAGACTTATAAAACTGTAATTGGCCAGACTTCTGACTGGCACGTTCTTGTGTCTCCTTCTCCATCTGCAAAGTGTTTAACTGTACTGTAAAATCTGCCTGGTGTCATTTGAGGGTTATTGTCATTATATTGGTCAGCAAGGCTTTCTTTTTCTTGTACTTTATCTTTCTCTCTTTCTTTTTATTTGACTTGGCTCATCAATTTTACCATTTGGTAGTCGGAAAAATAGTTTCCCACATCTTGGAGCAGACACCTGTGTTAGTGATATTCCTTTTCCAGCTGGGATGTCCTTTCTTCAACTTCCTTTCTTGTGTGTGTGAGCCAGTCACTTAAAACAGGTGTACATGATTCTTTACACTTCCTTTGAGTATTTTGTCCAGTCGTGAACCATTTCTCTTTCTTTCTGGGTACATTTCATCTGCTTTGATTCTTTGTTTGGCTGCTAAGGAAAACATTTGTCTTATTTTTCTCTCCGCTCTCCCTCTGTGTTGTGATCGATCTGAAGCATGTGTGTACGTCTCAGCCACAAGGAGAGGCGAGGGGCTCTAGGTGAATGGGATTTAAGTTACATTTATGGCCGCAGAGGAGCGATACTGTTTGGCAACATTTATATACACACGCACACAATCCAGATGTTGTGTCCTCTGGCTGCCCCCGCGCCGTTCCTATTAATATGGCTCTCTAACGGCTGCGTTACGCTACCTTAAGCTGAAACGCTGTTTAATGGGAAAAGGTGAGGCCCAGCACAAACCCCCAATCCTCTATTGGACTTTAATCACTCAAGCTGCGAAGCCCTGATGACACCTTGTCAAAGAGCTCAAAGCAGCACGTGCCTTCATATCCGGATGGAGGATGACTTCATGGCGGTGTGATCTGTGAGTAGCTGTCTGCACTGAGACGTCAGGTCGGCTCATTGGCCTTCAGCCCTGAAGCTGGTTGGCTCAGGCAGCGAAGTGAAGGCCTGAGGGATGCTGTAATGGCAACGCTAACCCCGTCTGATCCAGAGATGGTTCACAGAAAGGTGATTTATTTTCAGTGTTGTTGTTTTTTATTGACTCCCTCAAGGAGTAATTTGTCTGTTTGTCCTCCCTAATCCATAGTCTGGTTTAAAGGCAGGATAAGGATGGCTGTGTTTTGAAGTTCTTGAAGAATCCTTATTGCCTTTTTAGCCAGACTACAGAAATGGCTTCAGGGATGTCAAAGCTGTACAGTCAGTCCATCCCTTTGGAACGGACTGAAATATCTAATGAAATATCGGATGGATTGTTAGGGAATTTGGTACAGATATTTACGTCCCCAAGACAATGAATCACACATACTTTGGTAATCCCATGACTTTACCTCCACAGGCAGGTTGAAATTTGAGTATTAGTGAAATGCTATGTACTGGATGAATGCAATGAAATGTGGCAAAGATATCCTTGGTGCTAAGAGAATTAATCCTTCATGACTTTGGTTATTCCTTTACCTTTTTTTTATATTTCAACCACTACTGGAAGGGTCCGTTTATAAATGTGGTTAACATGTCCTTGTTACCTTTTAGAATCAATTCTAAAAACCTTGGTCATCCCTTAAACTATTTCCTGTTGTCATTGGTTTAAGATTAAAATAGTGCTTTTGTTATGACCAAATATCTGCCAAACTAATGCTAAAAACGTGTTAACTAAATGCTTTATTGTTCACATTAGTGTAAATGTGTCTGTAATTGTTGTTAGGTACAGGTATTCATATACAATAGTGTAATGGGCAGGTAGCAGCAAATAAGTTATTTAAAGAATAAAAGAGCACATCTGAAAACATCTTGAGTTTGAATCTTTGAATTGAATAAAAAAACAAATTTCCATGAACTAGTGATTATGTTTTCTTCCTTTATCTTATTACAGAGTAATGATGTAATGGGAAACACAGACATCACGCTGAAATACTTAACTGGTGCTTCCCAACAATAATGCTGATGCATGACTGAATATAGAAAAAAAAGTGATGATGCAGCATTTGTGCTGTTTACTCTTGCATGCTACATGAACACTATTGGGCTCTCAGCTGCTCTCAGTCAGAAATATGAATCAGACGACACATGTTGCTCCTAAAAGCAGTTCCAGTGTCGAGCAGACCCTGGGCAGATTAAAATAGTCACAGCTCAACTCGTTCCTAGTTTGGTCAGAGTACCAACTCTGCATTGTCTTTCCCCTGAAAGGAAATGGGCCAGTGGTGCTGCCGATGAACGGCTCAATGGCAATGAATTATCCCTGTGTCTGTTTATACCGTGCTGGCTTTAGCCTTCTCCTTCCCTCGCTCTTTTCTGATCTATCGCCTTTTTGGAGGTCTTGGTTTACTCTGAGCCTCTCTCATACATCTAAGCTATTTTTCTTCTGACTCACTTGCAGGGACTTATCAAGGCATATGTGAGTTCAGGTATCGGCAAACTGCATACTGGCTGACTGCAGGCAGAGAAATGATCTTCAGTCACAATTTAAGTGTTTATTCAACCGGGACTTATTATCAACTCTGTCAGTGCTCTGGTAGCGTAACTTCAGAAACGTGTTTGAGAGCCAGGTCAGAAGAGTGTTTTCTAATCCCTCTTAGTGGATAAAGCTATTTGGACGCACACAGGGAGCCAGAAAACATCTGTATTGCATAGAGATGGTGTCAGATAAAACGCTGGTATGGACTAAGACATATCATCCCTGAGAGAGGTGCAGAAGTGCACATCTGAGAACTTCCTTTTTAAAACACTGATATGATGTTGGTATGTGTTCTCTACATGTGTAACAATGTCAAGTCCCCTCATAGCTGAGGACAATACATTGGATGTGAACCCATAAACCTGTGTGGCCCATAAATACAGATTCATCTAAATGCTTAGGATTTATAGTTCGTTCTACTTCACCGACAAGGACCGTTCCCGCACAGGAGTCCTGGCCTGAGCATTACACTGAGTGGAAAAGTCAAACATTTTGGAAAATACAAACCCTTCAAACTCAACTTTTCAAAAAAGACGATTCTTTCTATTTCTATGTATTCAGTCTAAAGTTCCAAAAATCAGCACAACAAACTGTCAAACCTAATGGTCACTTATTTTAACATATTTTAATTTGTATATATTACTCAGCATTACTGGCAACCACGGTTGGAACATCAATGTTGAAACACTTGTGCTTCCTCGCTGCCTCATTTCTAAATATCTAGATCTACTAAACAAGACAAGACAATTAAAGTACTCACATGGGGAAGGGAGTAAACTTCAAAAATTCCCTTTCATTGAGGTCAGTTTAAACAATGATCGCCCTTATCCTCAATTTTAATCTGTCTCTCAAACTCGTGCTCATCAAGCTAACATGTGTGTCTGTTATTGTCCGCTTTCCGAGAATTTGGGAAGAGCAAACTGCGCTGAAAGGTTTGATATAGACTGTTTAAAGGAAACATAATCAGAACCGCCGTTTCTCCCTTTCAGCAGTCGATTCACAAACCGCTTGGCCAAGCATGTGGCAGAGTGACGTCAGGAAGGAAGGAGATTGAAGTGGGGTTTTAGTTAGAATTGACAGGGCCCACATGTATGTGTCCCTCTACGTGGTCTGGCTTGATTTAATAGTTCTGTTTTCCCCTATTTGTCCAACTGTTCGCTTTGGTTGTTGATTTGGCATGTGTCCATTGAACTCAGAGATGGCTTGACATTAATGGAGGTTGTATGAACAGCAGTGCTACCCTGTAACCTACCCCATGTTAAGGGGTGCAACATGGCAGCTCAAGTTATTTCCATTTCTTTTTACAATTTGTCATCTGAGGCCATTTAAAAGTGACAGGATGAGGCGTGTGTTGAGCCTTGGAAAATAAGCCTCTGTCCTCTTGCCATACGCAGATCTCCAGCCACACTCCTCGGGGGTTATTGTGGCCATAAAAATGACAACAGTAATTTGGGCAGACGAAGCGGTCTAAGGGGCCGAAGGAAACTGTTCCATGGAAACTCCATTTCTGACCTCCGTGTCTAATGGGAAAGTTCAGTGTAACTGTAGTATTAGTACACAGATTCAAGGGGCTCGCTGACTGACTGTGACACATTACACTAAGTAAGGACCTGAGGGTAAGCTTTAAAGAGCACGGTTTTAGGGATTTTTAAAGCCCATGTTACTTAGAAACCACACTTTTAAGCAGTTAAATGCCTTAAATTTGTCTTTCCTTTCCTCTTGTACTCACCATTATAATTACAAGACATCTATCACTTACATGATTTCTTTACAAACATACACATTCTTTCATTTCAACACCTGCAGTTGTTTTCAGCTGTTTCCTCTGACAACATGTGTGTTTTGCATCTGAAGACCACCTACCAAACCCAGCGTGGCAGTGTTGTTTTGACACATATGCCCCATGGAAACGACGGAACAAAGTCTCAGTACCATGAACAACACACACAGACGTGGAGTCACAGTTTGGTAATCCAAGACGCACTTGGGCCAAAAGTCACCTTGTCTCCTACATCAACAATAACAAGCGCTCCTTTCATGGGACAAGTCCTGTTCTGTCCAACCACAGGGATCTGTCAGAGGCACCTGGGAATTGTCATGTTTTTCTTCCTTCCTTTCTGTGTCTTCTTCTCATCCCTGCAAATCATTCTCTCATCACCCCCCCCCCCCCCCCTCCCTCATTATCTGTAACTTTACCTCCAGGTTATGTTTAAAGTCAAGGTTCATCTAGAGACATTGACTTCAAAAATGTAGGATCAAGAAGTCTTCTATAATACGTTTGTCTTATTTTGTTGTTTAAAATGTTTCACTGTTTGTCCCGCAGAGTGCCAAGAGCCTTCCGAACAACAAGGACTCCCGCATCCTGTGGGCCAAAGACGACTTTCTGCTCACCACAGGCTTTGATATGGTGAGATAAACTCATAGCTGCAGCTTATTACATTTGTTTGTATATCTTGCAATTACAAAAAGATGTGTGATAATCAGTGGTGAGCCGTGACTTTTATACCTAGGCCCTCTGACCCCCCCCCTTCCCTCTTAAAAAGAAGAGATATTACGTCACAGCGTATACTTCAGCGGAATATCAAAACAGCGGCCCGGGGTGCAAAACGCATCAATGACAGCGACAAAAAACAAAAAAAAACACCATTTATATAAACACCTATCATGACAGGGCACCCACAGCCAAGTAACAATTACAAATGAATTAAGTCGGCCCACATTGAAAATGACAAAGTCCATCCTCCTGTCCTTTTGGATGAAGCACTTGCGGGTCATTCAGCTGATCCTTTGCCACTCCAGTTTATCATTGTAACTCAATCTTGAAAATGACTCGGTTAATAATTTTGCAACGATGTCATCACTATCACTGAAGTGAGCCATCATGAACGAACTTATGCTAATAATAAATCTATCGATCATAAATCTATCGATTAGATTTATGATTCGAAAATAATAAAAGTAGGGTAGACATGTGGATATTATCCGGCTGAACAAAACGTGCATTTATCAAACAGGTTCGTTTTCCACAGACCTTATTTC